AGTTTGTCTAAATCCTCCTGAATTTCCCTGATATCTACGTTTGATCATTATCCTACCTATCTTTGTGTCATCAGCGAATTTGCTCATATCACTTGTAATTCCCTCATCAAGATCATTGATATATATTATAAACAACGGGCCCAAGACTGATCCCTGTGAACGCCACTTGCTACAGATCCCAATCGGATTTAACCCCATTTATGCACACTCTCTGCTTCCTGTCTGAGAGCCATGACTCGATCCATGAGAGCACTTTTCCCCCAGTGCCATGAGCTGCCACTTTCTTTAACAGTCTTTGGTGTGGTACTCTATCAAAAGCCTTACTAAAATCTAAACAAACAATATCAAATTTCTTCATTGTGACAACGCCCAAAATTTTACTGAAAAATTTAAAAAAATTAGACAAGAACGGCCTCCTAATCCATGCGGTATCTTAATAATTTATGCTTTACCAATGGCTTTTATAATCCACTATAATTGACTCAAGCATTTTGCCTAAGTTGAGGTCAGGTTATAGGGCGGATTTACGGTAAAGACTTGCTCCTTTTTTAAAAAAATAGGAATTACATTAGCCCTTTTCACATATAGACACTACACCTGTTTGAAGAGAAAAATTAAAAATATTATTAATGGTTCCAGATTTTCCATTTTGCACCCTTTAAAACCCTTAAAAAAGCCATCGGACCCGGCGATTTTTTTGTTTCATTTTGTTTCACCCCATTTCACTAGTGACTGTGATTTACTTATTTCTTCTCCCCACTAAAAAAAATTTATACTGGATATTGTTAGTGTCTTCCTAAGTAAAAACAGAGAGAAAATAATTATTTTAAAAACGAGTACATTTTTTCTCTTTGTCAGAAAGAGCCCATGTTACTTTTAAGGAGACCTACTTATCCTAATTTTGTTCTATGTACCGGGAAAAAACTTTTTTGGGTTATTTTCGAAACCCACAACTTTTAATTTTTTACCCCCTTTTGCTATTTTTCCCCTTTTAACGCCCCCTTAATGTCAATATACTGATTCACAGATGACCCCAACCCCTTTTTATAGTCTATAAATTCCTTTCTTCTGCCCCAAAAGATATTCACCATTTTTTGGGTTTCTTAATTTTAATCTAATTTTTTTATATGGGTAAATGTTTTTGGGGAGCAGTAAGTTTTCAAAAGCTTATAGGGTAGCTCTCTTCGTTACATCATCAACAAAAATTATCTCTAAGCCCCTTGAATTGCTAAGCAAAAATTGGGACCATTACTGAATTACCTATTGCATAGATTCATTATAGGTAAATTTCTTTGTGATCGTAATAATTCCTCTTAATTTCTAAATTTTTACAAGGTTTCCCTTTTTGCCCGAACCAAGCAAGCAGGTTAGGGAGGTTTTTTTCACAAACTGCTTCAAAAAACATCATTTGATTCTAAATTCCCAGTAAAAAAATTCAATCAATCTGACCAAAATTAAAGTCCCCTAGAATTACTACATTATCGTGCTTTGTGGCCTTAACAATTTCCTCCCATAGTAATCTCCCATGGTCGCTATCTAAGTTTGGGGGACGTTATATCACTCCTAGAATCAATTTTTCATGCTCCTCTGAAAATTCTATCCAGACAGTCTCGGTATGTGTTACCTCAGACTTAATACCCGTTTTTATGCAACAGTTCAAGCGATCTCGGACATACAGTGCCACCCCACCCCCCTTACCGATACTTCTATCTACTTGGAACAGTTTAAAACCCTGAATGTGACATTCCGCAGGCATGTCCCGACTTTTGGAATTAAACCATGTCTCGGTGATGTCAAATACATCAATGTTACCTGCACTGGCTACTAATCTCAACTCATCCATCTTATTCCTAGCACTACGGCTATTTGCATAATATATTTTTAAGGATCCCCCCTTTTTTTACCCTTCCTGCTCATTTCTGTTTTTCCATTAAACCTATTACTGGCCTTGTCTACTAGTGCCACTGGCTTTCCAATATTCACCTAATTGTGCCTATTACTAGTTCCCCTGGAACTCATAATATTACTACACTGGAGCTTCACTGTATTCCCGCCAAAACCCATACCAATAACTATTCCTAGTTTAAAGCCCTAACAGCTTCCTCCACTGCAGTTGCCAGTGCCCCCACCCCAGACCTAGATAAGTGAACCCCATCCCTGGCATACATGTCATTTCTGCCAAAGAAGAGGTCCCAGTTGTCAATGAATGTTAGTGCATTTTCCTTACAGTATTTGTCCAGCCAGCAGTTGACACCAATTGCCCTGGACAACCATTCATTTCCAACTCCTCTCCTTGGCAAAATACCACATATGACAGGTTTCCCACTCTTCTTCCTAATTATTTCTATTACCGATCTATACCTGCTGATCAGGTCCTCACTCCTAAGTCTGCCAACATTGTTGCCTCCCGCACTAAGGCAGATGATAGGATTGCTTTCATTACCTTTCATGATGTCGTCTAGACGGCTAACAATATCTCCCATCCCAGCCCCAGGAAAACATATCCTCTGCCTCTTCTTCTTGTCCCTAAGACAAAAGGCTCTATCCATAAACTTAACCTGACTGTCTCCACCTAAAACAATGTTCTTACCTTCACTTGTGGAATTCGTGACGTTCTCGATGGTCTTCATTGGGGTTTCAAGGGATGTCTCACTCACGTCTGCCAATGCTTCCTTGGTGCTCGTTGTGGGCGTTCCCAGTAGACAACCCACATTTGTCAGGTAGCATCGAAAATGGGCTGGAAGTTTCCACAGTAGTCTTCTGGTTCTTAGTTGTTTCTGCCTCTCCAACAGTCTTCTTGATCCACAGCTTGGTTCCATATTGCCCAGCCACTGACCAGGTTCCCTTCTTAACCTGAGGACTCACAACAGGAGGATTACGAATCCTTTTGTTCTCCTCCATTAATCATCATATCTCTAGCTTAGCAACCCTAAGCTCCTCTTTTAGCTTCAGCTCAAGAGAGGACATCTTGGTTCAGATTCACAGAGAGCACACAGACAAGTCTTCATAGAGCTAAGTACAGGTCACCACTCAAGCTAAGTACAGGTCATCACTGAAATAAGTACAGGTCACTTGAAAGAATTCGAGATAAGACAGCAGAATTGCAGATGAGCAAGGAGGCTTTAGAATGGGTAGGGATGTGTAGATCAGGTGTTTACATTGAAGCATATAAGTAGTGATAAATGCGGCTGGGGCGTCCCTTCCGGAAAAAGGCATGCGGCTGGGGCGTCCCTTCCGGTTTAGGCCTTCCACTGAGGCATCCCTTCCGGTCTAGAACCAGCGGCTGGAGGGTCCCCTTTTCACACCTAGGTGTTACTTCCGGTTTTGACCATGACCTCGCCCTCGAGACTACCTCACCCTTGACCCCCTAACCAATACCCCCCGCCCACGACCCCCCCCCTTCGCGACCCCCCTTCGCGACCCCACCGTCGCGCCGCGCGCCCGCCCGCGCGCCCGCCCTTCGCGACCCCCCGCTCGCGCCTTCTGCTGCTGCGTCGTCCGGATCGCCCCCGCGCCTCGAATTTTTTTTTCTTATGATCTCCTTGGATCAAGTTTTTTGGATTCCCCCCTATGGGTTTCGAATTTTTTTGATTTCATTTTCTTGTGCTC